ATTGATTTCTATAATTTACATAAATAAGTACCTACCTAGACAAAAGTTTTGAAATTTATCTTAAAATAACACGATCCAAAATCTAAATTATCATATCATTTACGGACACCAAAGTTGCTTCAGGCCTTGCATGCCTTGTTAAAAATATTTAAAATATTTTCCTTCAAAAGTTTATTTTGGTCCAGAATTTCAAACATAATAGTAGTTGGTTGCTACATGTTATAAATTAAGAAACGACTTTCCAACGTAATGTGGAACATTCTCGTCATAGGACCTCAAGTAGAGGGGTGCGCTGCGCACGCGTCTGTGGCAGTGGGTCAGTGGTTCCGCAGGGCGCGAGCGCGGGCGGCGTCGCCTCTCTGGCGCAACACCCTTACGTAAAACCCACGGACTATGGACCGAGACTTGGTCGTAGCAGTGAAAGTTAACGGTGCTTCACAGAACAGTCGAGATCGCAGATAGCACCGACAGCAGTTCCCTCATCCTAGTCTGTAAGCATAAAATCCTGTAAATGAAATCGTTTCTGAAGAAATTATACTTACAAGTGTTTATTAACGTTATTGTTCAGACAGGACATTGATGGGTTCCAAAATAAGTTTTGTTCCCATTAATTTTTATTACCATTATATTAAAAAACAATATTGTTAATTGATTTTTCATATTGTGATGGTCACGTGGAATTTAATGGATAATTAGGTTCAAGTGTAGGAATGAGTGTAAGTGAATATTGCCGTGAAGAGCAGGTCAAGGCCGTTCACAATAAGTTGTTGTGCAAGAGTGGGTCACTTGCAGCACGCGCGTTGTCATCCCGTTCTTTACCGCCTTGCACTGATTGAGTCGATACTGGTGAGTCTGTTATTATTCTCTTTGCACTACAGAGTATCTCTAAATGTTCATTTGATACGCAATTGCTAATTTATATTAATTAATGTGCAATATCACTATATTAAAATTAACTACTAAAATAATTACTTATAGGGAAATTCTATAATAATTTGCTGTAATGAATGACGTCAAAGAAGAGCCAGTGTCGATTTAGTCAACTATTTGTGTCATCAAGTACTAATGCTTTCCTTTACTTCATGCTGCAATGCGATACTAATTCTAGGAACGTGACAATACTTCGAAAGCACACACCGACGTGAGTTTTAGTAACATACGTGTCCACGTCGCTTCCTATAACGTTTGAGATTGACGATTTCACTTCTGACAAACCACCAAGGTACGCATGCTAAATAAGCGCGTTCCTGCTTTTTTATCTTACAAGCCCTCGTGTATATTGAGGTCAGTAATATAAGGGTACTGTTAAAAAATTAAACTTTGATATGGTCATTAATTAAAAGAACGTAATTCTAACATAATTATTGAGTGAAAATGTTTTAAATTAATGTAAGACTGTATAAAAGTTTTGAACTTATTCTTGAATAATGATTGTATTCAAATGAGAACAAATTTATTAACTAATAGCCGCGAGTGACGCCCCGCGACATTGAATTGTTAGCAAAGTGAAGTAACGCTTTAGTATGCACGAAAATATTACCTAATGGTATGGCACTGTAACATTAGTGAGTGAATCAGGTCTCAGGTGGTATTCCGTCGAACAGGTTAGTGGTATCGCCCCCCTTTCTCTCGACACTGATGCGATGTACCGTATGTGTGATGTGACGTAACTGACAGAAACTCCTCTTAATCGGTTATTCTGTATGCGAAATCTGCAAACGGTTAGATTTTAAGGACGGTGCCGCAATGTGTTAACGTGTTCTGCTTCCGCTATTGTGCCCACCTTTAAGTCCATATTTATATTTACGTAGTTAAGAAATAAACGCACGATACTTGTCATAACTTGCGAGATCAATACAATTGCGTGTAATTCTATTTCCCTATTCCGTGTCGGATAATAAAATTCCACCTAAATATATATACCAAATATATTTCTTGTATGTAGTTTGCCGGTTGACTGTAAAATTAAAATTAATAACACGAAAATTCACGCTTAGGTTAAAATTACACACTACAAGTGGTTTCCTTATAAATCTAGTTTCTCGTAAAACAGCTAATTTTATTATAAACCATCGGTAGCTTAGAAAGACGGGTTTATTCATGTATGTGACTGCTTCTATTGTAAATGAATATCAATCTGATCACGAGACTATTTAGTTAGTTAATTATTTATATATATTGTAGTACCTATTAGTGATACATATAGCTGACTAGTTATAATAATTAGTTACATACACATATTCATTACGACGGCCATGCAATACACATAGTAACTATTAAGTAATACAAATTTACATACCGAACTAACAACGAGTAAAATCTAAGAATTAACTTTACTTTACCTTGGCCTTTCACACGTACAATGCAAAATATTTAAATTGTACAGTAGGATGACCTCTGACATGCGTCATTACCTTGCATATAATTATGATTAGAGAGGCGTCCAAAGATAAAAATCAATCGCTCCAAAGAAATTTATTAAAAAATTTATGTAATTTTATAGAGAAGAGAATCGGCCAATATCATCGTGGACACGCACTAATATAGCGATTACTAAAAGTTCGAACTAACAGCAGCTCTCTGTAAGCTTGTTATTGGAATGTAAGAATATCTTGACTTACTTAATTCAGATTCTTAATCTAATGCATTGCGAAAAATAGGAAACTTGTTGTATCTTCTGTAACAAGCAATCTTAAAATTAATTTCTATATTTATATTGGCTTTGTACTATTTGAATTAGATCGACATTTAATTGTTATTGAGGTTAATACAATGCCAGGATAGTTACGGGATACCATGAAACGTTTAAACCGGTTGCGAGAATTTCACTATGAGGTTTTCTTAAAAGGAATGAGTTTCATCAGAGATCGTAAATGTATGAATACAAGCAAGGATTTAACGAAATTATAAGATTTGAGATTATAAAACCCTAAAATAAATAATATTTAATCCATACTATTATTAGACAAGCGAAACTGTGTCTGTTTGTTACCTTTTCACAACTAATTGTCGTAAAGGATATTAATGTAAAGATAGACGGATACGGGAAACCGATTCTTCACGTAAAACCAAACACAATAGATAACTATTACTTTATAAAAAGCAGACGAAGTCTCGGGTAACAGCTAGTATGTGTCTATTAAACAGAGAATCTGTGCTCCCATTTACATTTGCATTAATTTATTTGTTTCAGTTTTCTTGCGACCTAGAAATTTATTAGTGCATGTTTTACGTTCTGTTCAAATGCAGGACCGAGTAGTATAACATTATGTATATTATGTAAGTGTTGGGCGGGTCGGTACACGTGTTACAAATTATTACGTACATCTATCCCGAATTGCACTAGGTTCCGTCGCAATCATAATCACCTATGTGTTAATAATACTCTAATTTATTATTGCATCTTTACATTTAAACTGTAAATTGTATATCGTATATATAATTATTATAATAATGTATTACTTTCTAATTACAACATTTTCTTGTATTATTTTAAAAATTGACAATTACATATATATTTATTGTGTATAATATTACGCATTGCCTTGTCTGCCATCATATTCTCTTTAGATGTACCTAACACCGAAAATATTATATTCATGTATTTTTCCATTTGGTATTTATAGAATGATTTAGAATTATTTTTAACAACTTTTAGACATGCTATTTTTTGCTTCTATTACTAAGTATAGCCAGTTTGTAGTTAATTGATTAACAAATTGAAGGAGAGGTCATCGAACAAAACAGTTTCTTCCAACGCGAATGAGTGGCGCTATTTATATTTTACTTGTTTTGTATTTCGTATTCGTATGCCTAACTCGCTTTTGCCGGTTCAATATTTGTATCTAATTCATTTTTAAATATTTGCTTCATTCTCAATAAAATACCCATTGATTGTTTCGAAATAAACCGACTCCAAAAAGGAGAAAGTTCTCAATTCCACAATATTCTAACTAAAGTTCCATCTTTTTTTTTCAATTTGTTGTAGTTTTTTTGTTTATTTCCTCAGTATTTTTTTATCATGTTTGATGATTGTTTTTATGATTCTCTTTTTTCATAGCGGGATCCACATCTGTGGTCTATTTAAATTGGTCAATCTAATTGCACTGAATAAAATATTTTTCTTTCTTAATTGTTTTTGAATAACCCTGGCCTGATGGCCTGATCACAGTATTATTGTGTTATTTAACATATGTTACGAAAAAACAAATCGCGATTATTTTAATCAATCTATTATATTATTACTAGATACTAGAGAAGTAGTTTATACTAACTAGAGTTATAAAGTAAGTAAACATATGACGTATAACTACTGTCCCATATCATTAGGATTCCGTATAAAATGAATAAGTTATTATTGCATAGCAACAAAATTCTATAACAGTAATATTGTAATTTCTCATTGGCGGTGTTCATGATTGTTTGTTCGTGCCTTCAGCAAATCTAAATTGGATGTTTTTTTTATATTAGAGATACAATTTCGATTGGTTATGTCAGCCCAATTGTCATAGCATATATAACTTGCATCATAATAAGTTTCTAACGGTGACTGATTGAACCTTGCCAACATCGATATCTAGAAACATTAAATTATGCTTTGGAGTTCATTATACGAGAAGTGTACAATGGGATATAAAATTTGTCTTTTTTTTGGTCGACTAGAAAATGCTTACAAAATATATTATTTACAAGGTTTATCATAAGGTTTTAATATTAATATTTATTTAGGTTACTTGACATTTAGAGGTTTTGTTTTGTTTTATAAACTATATCTAATTAGTTTTAAGAAATTGAACGGAATTCACAATCTTGAATGTTCCTCTTGTACCTGTACGATTATATTTGACAGTTCTTATCACTGTTACGAGACATGCGATAAGTAGCTAATAAAGCCATGTCAGGAAGCTTGCAAGATAGTAATTTTTACTGTTTATTAGGTTAGTGGAGACAATGCGTTATATTGAAATGTTTTTTACTAATTCTACTTTACTTTGTTACAGATTAAGTCACATAGACTGAAACTATCCAAAGATGACGTCCTTATATAATTGGTATAGAGACCTCATAGACAACAGAGGCGGTAAGTTGTTTATCATTAATATGTACCGGAATTAGAATACATAAAAAACAGTCTCGCAGCTTAATGTCTGTGTGTACGATACAGTTTTTTTTTGACAACTATTGTGATTAATGTATGTTTACTGGATTTTATTTTTCCGGTTTATATATTATAAGTGTACAAAACACACGTAGACACGTACTTCACACATTTTGTTTTTATTTTACTTGGCCATATTCGCCTTCTTATGATATTGTCAAACGTTTACAAGTATAATATAGTTATTACTTTGTAAGATTGCCTTTGATTCGAAATTTGCAGGTAAGAAACTAATTTGTAAAACATATTTGTTTCTAAATGTAAGTAAGGTCCAATATATTTATAAATGTTCTATTTTCAAAAAACCTGTCTTATAGTTTTCCTGTTGACCCGTTTAATGACGTCAAAGATAAGTAGACAATAATCCAATCAACAGATCACATATGTGGGGTCTTTAAAGAAATCGTTTTATGAAACAATATATTTTTATTTTGGAACCCTATATTAGTATGGTTTTTCTTTTGATTTTTATTGAAAACTACATGACAGTTTGTCTCTATCTCTTTCTCTCCAATATTAGAAACTTAAATAAAGATAACTTCTAAATTGTAATTGTTATCCATTATTATTTTATATATTGGCTTATTCCATATATAATATATTGGTTTTTTATTGTGTACTTTCAAATTCACATCTGATGCATCACAAATACGCGTCTTGTACATTATGATATAATAAATAGTATCAATCCATTTTTAGATGTCATGTGATGTTTAGATATTTATCATTAGTATCGATAATCCTATAGAAATTGATAGTTATATTTCAAATGTAATAAAAAGATAAAGCTTGGCTTATATTTGATATCGTAGTCGATAATGTGTTATTATGAAACATAATATTGATAGATAATTAATTACTTATCATTCAGTATCTTTTGAGTTTGATGGGAGAGTCAAAAATATGCAATGAAGTTGTGGCCTCCGATATTTGTCTGTACTCATTTAACCACCGAATCTAAACAGAGCTAGATAAGTTAGTATAACAAGATAGGTGTACTCAAGATAATATAGAAATATTATCTTGAGTGACTTACCTGTAATTTAGTGGTACCTGTTAAGAGCACGACTAAGAAGATATGATTCAACAGGTATTGCATGCAAATGATACTATTATATAATAATATATAACTTATATATCAATGGAATGAAGTTCGTATATGATACTAGTAATGAACATATACAGTTTCATAGATCATACATTTTTATACATACCATCACTGTGTAGATAAACTGTATATTGTATATTTATTTAGTTAAATAACTTTATTTAATAATTTTATGCCGTACGTGGAATGTTGATTCCATTCCACATACGGAAATTTTCCATCTAATTTTATTTCTTGTAACATACATAATGTGTTACGTTATATTATTACGATCCTCTAATTATACTCTCCGTTGTTTTTTTGTTTAGGATCTTGATTAGTATCAGCCGTTCACATCAACTTGATGATATGATTAGCAATTTGTGTAATACATAATAGTTAACAAGATTAGATTAACAAGGAGTTTGAAACTATATTTATAAATAAGTTATATATTAATAATAGTTTAAATCAACTTGTAAATACAATTCACAGCTTAATGTATAGTTAGATAATGTTACTCACATTGTCTAAATATACTTTAATCTAACTTCTCTTACTCCTCTAATTTTGTAATTGAGGCATATGTGCCTAGAGCGTTCTAAGAAAACATTAAAGATAATAATAATATAAATAACAATATTTATATTAAGATCATTGTACGGTACAAAGTAAACTATTGAAATGAAATTACTAGTATGCTCTGACTCTAAAGTAAAATTATATTCCTTATCACGAAAATAGAATTACCGGTCTCTATATCTTACTAAGACGTACGCTGATGCCATGTGAATGTTGTTTTGATATGTTAATCTAATCCAATTATAATTCAATTATGTCATTAGTCTAAACTGATATTTTAAATAGGAAATATTTGATTGTTTGTTTCCTAATAGACAAACTCAATTTTTTTTTTTAAATAATTTCGTATATAAAAGGCTTGGCATTATCTGCGAATTTACATGGGAATTATTTTATTTTAATAAATTTGGAGATTATTATTATTAAATACATATAAATATTTTTTTCTGAAGATATATTGTTGTATCTATTCTATATATACTGCTGTTTTAATAGAAAGTATGCACAAATCATTTGTCTGCTTTTTTTCAGATCCAAGAGTAAAAGATTGGCCAATGATGTCTTCCCCATGGCCAACATTAGCTGCGTGCATATGCTACGCTTATTGCTGTAAAAAACTGGGTCCTCAACTCATGGCTAATAGAAAACCTTTTGAATTTAGGACCTTTTTAGTTGTATATAATTTTATACAAACAGTTTTTAGTGCATGGATATTTTACGAGGTAAGCATCAAACGTCTCAGAGAAATTGCATTGACACTTGGCATTATTTCCTAAACGTGTATAGTTTTGTATTTATTTTCATGAAATTTTATTTTAATGAATTTATTTGTTTACCTAAATATTTATCGCTTTACTACATATGCATATTTTAGGAATCTTAGAGCCAGTTTTAGAGTAATATGAATATGACTATTTATTAAGATTTTTACTTAAATATTTGGTTATTAATTGATTCTTGTAGAGACTTTATAAAAAATGTAATTAATAAGGCTTTTTTGATATCGCGCCTTTTTAAAAATTTAATGTTTATGTCGAGTAATAAATCATTTCTTTATTTTATGTTAACATTTTACAGTACCTGATGAGTGGATGGTGGGGTCATTATAACTTCACGTGCCAGCTAGTCGACTACTCACGCAGTCCTATCGCTATGAGGGTAAGTTAAGTGGTTCGGTAAACTTTGAACCCAATATCGATTTACGTTGAAGTCTATGACTTTGTAAATACATGGATTTATTTTTCTAATACTCATGTATACTACTAGTGATGTCATAATGTACGCAATACGTACATGCTATACCTAGAATATTAACATCTTTAAAATAAATGCAAACATTTAAAAATTACACAGTTGTTCATTCATGCTATTGACATTTGATCTTAAGAAAACTTACATCCTGCATAATTTACGTCAACCTTCGAATGTGTTCGAAAACACCAGATTTGCGACAACTTAACATTACGTTTACGCTTAATACAGTACGTTATAATTAAAAACGACCATTAATGGTCGCGTAGGTGGTGGTCACTGCGACCATGGAGCGGTCAAAGTCTGCGAACGCTTACAGCCTCTATCAACAAGGCGGAAACTAATAAATAACAAACATCCGAATAATCTTCAAGCGATTCGTAATGCGTATAACCGCATATGTATATGTGATGATAGAAATATTTTGTTTATAAGTTAGTTATTGTGGTATGGTCATTTATTATCCCGAATTATTAGAATTCATGACCTTTGTGGTCTCATTTTAATAGACCACAAAGGTCATGAGTTCTAATTTGGTCAACATCATCACTAAATCATATGCGTCAATAAAAAAAATCCAAATAGTTCCGATATTGTTGTAACATTCTGTTAATAACTTAAATCTATCAGGTAGGTAGGATTAACCTTATTAGCCTACAGTTCGAGTGTTAGGGCCTTTCATATGACATTCGTTCGACGAGTGACTCGGTACGCTGTCTTGTGTATGTAAACAACTTACATATAGTATAGAACACTATGCGACCGACACTATTTTGACGTCATGTAAAGGAACCCTGCGTTTACCAGAACGGCAACATACTAGTATCTCTGACTACCACATCATCATAGATACTTTTAACCACAATATTCAATGGAAAATAAATGATTCAGTTTGAGTTCTGTCCACACGTTGTATAGTATACATTTTAACGAATTATGTTGTGACGTAGATTGCGTATAACTAGATAATTTATTTAACGACGGCGCGCGTACATTATTGCCGCATGATTGGTGTGCTCTATTTCCTCTACATTATAATTACAATGCACGAGAATGATTCAAGTAAAATCTTATATAGTCGTATTCACTTGAATACACGTTATATCACATATCTATCTGTTTCATACATTTGAGTAATAAAATATGTATGTTAAATCAACATTAAATGACTTAGTCATTGAGAAACAGCTATTGAGAAACCATTGAATTTTGCCGAGTAGGTTATGTAATGGACGGATAGATATACGTCTATCTAAACCTCGCCTCTTGACTTAGGATATATCTATTCCTTTTAGTCAAATTGACATGATTATCAGTTGGTGGTGTCTTTGAAATAGTTATGCAGTACATCCGATGATAATAAACTCTGTCAGTTGTTATTAAATGTATTCACCGAGAAATCAAAATTTTTCCAAAAATAAACGGCCCATGTACATTAACAGCACTATGGATATCACGTTATCATGTGAGACTGAGGTATCATGCCTGTTAACCTACAGTTTCGTTCGTTCTTCGGAGAAGACAACAAAATAATGTGTAGTAAATTAAGGAAATGCTAGTTAGTAATTTATTAGTTTATCATACTTAATAGATATTGCACTATTTGTTCGGAACATAAATCGAGAATCCATCTTGCAATTTGAAAGTTTTTCTTTAGTTCGATATCATAGTAATGAAACCAAGCAGCTATAATTTTATATACAAATTTTATATTATATTGTTTTGTCCCCAGATGGCGAACACATGTTGGTGGTATTACTTTAGCAAGTTCACGGAATTCGCGGACACACTTTTCTTCGTGATGCGAAAGAAGTGGAATCAAGTGTCCACATTGCACGTCATCCACCACGGAATTATGCCCATGTCGGTGTGGTTTGGACTTAAATTCGCGCCTGGTATGTGAACACTATTAAAACGTTTACATTATATATTCTATTTAATTTAGAAATATCTTCTGATCAGTAAAAAACTAAAGCGAAGTACAGGTATAATTTAGAAGATAGGAAACAAAAAAAAATCAATATTATACATAAAATATTTAGTTGTTATAGAAAATATTTAAATATAGTTACCTACTGGTGACAATTATATGACCTCTATCTGTACATCATGTAGAGATGTACACCTTGTTAGCGAGATAAAATATGGTTTTTAGAATGTTTGTCTGTTGGTCTGTGTGTTTGTGCACATTAATCTTAGAAATGGTTAATCGATTTCAATGTTTGTTTCTTTCTAATCGGTCCACGAATAAAAAAGTTATAATCTACTGTTATTTCGCGCGTAGGTATGACTTCGCGAGTACAGCTAATAAAATATTTAAAACAATTTGGCGACGCTATGCATGGACATTCACCTTAAAAAAAATACATGCTCTGTTTTTTAAACTGTCAGGTCACAAGTAGGTACTAAAAACGTATCTACAAATATATTAGTAATGTATAGTTCTTTTTCCTGTTTTAAATGTTCTGCCGTGATATTTTAGCATGTTAATATTTTAAATAAACACAAGTTCCTATATCAACAAGTTTTACTGTAACTAACAATTCCATTATGTACACATAAGATTGTGCTAATAACACTATGTATGTAAGAGACCACTCGCGCAGTGGGAATTACCACTTTGACCTCCATAGTAGAAGTCACGAGTTCTACAACGGGTTATATTTAAACAAAGGAGAAGGATCTTAACATTATGCTATTAGGTTTTCATGATAGACTTATAAAAAAGAATTTAAAATTAATTGTGTACTATTGTGGTCTACTCGTATGCAATTATAAGATGAGTTTTAAACACTCTTGTGATCTGATTAGCATTTAGGACATTAAAAGTTAGGAATTGTAAATTTGAAATGTTTCACTTGTTAGCGTCAAACTAAGAAATAATATCCCGAAATGTCCACGGGTACAAGCGATAACGGGTTCCGCACCCAGTGTACATATATAAGTCACATTATTATTAGAATAGGATCTTAATTGTCACCATATTCTTACCAATGTAACATCAAAACATTTTTATTTGATTTAAAACTTGTATGTTAATATATAAAATAATCATTAATTATGTAGTTTATACAGTCTTGTAATTTTCCTTGTCTACTAGCTGACCTCTATGGTCGGTTGTTAAACAATAGGAAAATGGTATTGCAATTATTTGAAATTCTTTACTGAATTCACTTGTTGACTTGTGAAATATATGTGTATATTCTTTTAGGTGGTCATAGCACATTCTTTGCACTTCTGAATACATTTGTGCACATAATCATGTATTTCTACTATATGGTATCTGCCATGGGACCGAAGTACCAAAAGTTTGTATGGTGGAAGAAATACCTCACCGCTCTACAGCTGGTATGTATGCCGCGAACAAAAGTATTTATACGTTTATATTTTTTTCATAGATATTTTGGCGTATAAAATTAAATGTTAACAGTAAATAAAGTTTAATTATTTCATATCTATACAGATCATTTCCTTCTAGAAGTTTAGCATTCTAAATCTTTAAAAACTTACAATTTAAAGCCTTTTTAATCTGGTGGTAATAGATGATTGTTAAAAAATAGATTAAATTGTTGAAAAGAAAATCCAACGTCTCTTTTACATTATAGTTCAACATTTTCGAATATTTAAATGCTTTATTGTGGATCAAACAATTAATCTGTTTATATTAGAATTATTTCAATATAATTCAAATGAATCATTATAAAGATCGAAGTACATGATGAAACAATTTTAAACATCACAAACAAACAACATTTTTAAATGGTTAGTATTAATTCGATGAATAGTGTCAGATGCTGTAAGAAACTACTTGTAGAACAAAATGTCTCTTGCATCATAAGAAGGATAAATTGAAATGAAACCTTATAATAATCAAATTGGCTAACGCGGTAGTAGTATTTACAAATGTAACATGACTGTCGTAATATATACTATTTTGTTATATTCACAGGTGCAATTTGTTATGATCTTCACACATCAGCTACAGGTGTTGTTCAGACCTTCATGCCAGTACCCCCGCGTGTTTGTTTTGTGGATCGCAATGCATGGCTTCTTATTCCTCTTCTTGTTTAGCGACTTCTACAAGGCGCAATATATCAAACCTGAGAAGAGACCAAAGCTCGCCAGTGGATTGTGCATGGTAAGCTTTGCACTAATTAGTATCCTATAATACTCGATATACAGTTAAATGTAGCATTTTTTTATTATTGAAAGAATTAAATATTAGGAAGGCAAAAGAAATAGAATCTAGACTGATAGACATATAAAGTACTCGATTATATTCTGTATGTTATGGCAGAATATAGAATGTAACCCTTTTAAGTACGCAACAATAAGCAGAATTTTATTTATTTTGTATTACTTTCTGATGTTTTTAGCGATAAATCGTACACTATTTATTAACAGTTAAACTTTAATTTTTGTTAAACACTAATGTGTTTTTATTTCTATAAATATAAAGAAAATATTAATCATTCAGTCTTAATTGATCTCACGAGGTCGCAGATTATTCTGCTCGTAAATGTTACGACTAATACTAATTGGATCATGTATTTTATGTTTATACTACGAATACTTCGTATTTTGTTTCACAATAAACAATAACTTCACCACTTTCATCATATCCAAATTAATATGAGTTCCATAAACAAGAGTAAATCGTATTGTTGCAAAACCAATTATCAAAACCTTAGTTGGAAGCTATTCGACAAATGTGTCGAAGTTGATTCTTCTTATGGTTCCTTTATACGGTCTTTTAAGTGGCTACAAATATATACATGATGTGGATAATCGTTTTGTATATTGAACACATTAAATGGATTCGACTGCTGCAATTAGCATCAATATTATATTCATCACCAAAAAAGTGTATTTGAACACAATTTTACTTACAAACTATTTCTCACTCATTACTGCTGCCGCAATCATGAACAATGGCGCAGCGTGTATATGGGTGCATTATCACATGGCCTAATTTCTTTAACGTGTGTCAAAAACCTTTTGTGATATGTGATCGGCTATGCGTCGCTAACATACCATATATGGTCCATCATAGGTATCGTAGGTCATTGTGTAGAGAACATTAAGGTTTCCACGACGGTTTGTACTTCTAACAATAAGTCTTTGATCACAGTCATAACAACGTGTACGATCAGTACCCTTCTTTTATTGGGTTGTTTGGGCTACTGTCGGGTGCTCGGACCCTTTTTCAGAGTTCGCTACTTAGACCCGTTAGGGACAAGAATTGAAGATTGAATGAATACCTTAAACAATGCAATTATATTTCAGGCGATAGACGAGAACAGCGGTGCCCAAAACGGGTACAAGCAAGAAGTGGGCTCGGAGGTGCCCAACTCATACGCGTCGTCGACAGACGCATTCGTACGGCGGCGGCCAGTGTCGTAGTGCTGTATATACCTAGCTATAACTTTCAAAGGACCGTCTCGAATATTCCACGGTGGCCCGGAGCCCTCGTTGGCCTGAGACTGATGTTTTATATTAAAAACACAAGCTTATAGTGATTAATCTATGGTGCGAGTACCTTGGGTAGTATAGACGAACGAGCCACGGCTTCGCCCAATGGGAATTAATTTAATGGGTCCAAGGGCCCCAGTACGTGTCTCGACTCTGGTGTGGGTAAATTTTCACGCATTCTTACAATACAATCCGCACGTAACGATTGCTCTGGCACTGGATTTCCGTAAATTAATTTCATAATAAAATCTATCTAAATAAAGTGAAATAGAATGTAATTTTCTATAAACCATTGACCCCCAGGAATAAAAATGGTAAATGCTTGTTAATGCACAAAGTCAGTCACACGAAGTTGGAATTGAAATACATAATGCCTTGTCTAGTATCAGTACAAAAATTTAATAAATTAAGAGTATTTGATTGTTGTAATTATTAAATTTTTGGATTCTATATTTTAGTTTGGTTTCAATGTTTTAATCAAATCTCTAAAAATATTTTGTTCATGGTATTCTATGAAATTGTATCACCATTCATATTAAAATTCGAGGGTATGAGTAACGTTTTGTAATGTGTGTATATTTTAATATAAAAATGAGTGTTAATATCATGTAATTAGGTGTATTGAAGGTTAATGGATTATTTGTAAATAAATTTTGTTAATCACTGGTTGTAATATGAAACATGTTACCAAGTTCTTAGAGATATTTTATTGAAATACATATTCACATCTTCAATATATTCTTTATACTACTTGTTCAGGGCTCAAGTACTATATTGTATTTTATTCAAATATATAATACCCATCTGGGGAACATTTTATTGTGACAAATTTTTTGGTGTAATCGAATCTGAGTTTATCTGTCGCAGGGTTTCCAACTGTAGGGCTCTCCCACAATTTTGGGAGGAAAATAATCAAGAGATCTTAGGGTCACGATTGGTAGAATTTGTGGATATATTTTTTTTTATTTTTGGGATATGTTTAATAGAGGGTTGAAATTAAACACATTATAGTAGCTAGGTAATTAGTTTTTACTATGAAATAATAAACAGCTCCATAGAATTTTGTGATTATACTGAACAAAAAGATGAGTGTTAATAAGTTACTATTTAGTACCGTATGGCCAATTAGGTAAGATTTTCTGTAGTGTATGAGCCCACTGAGCAAGTACCTAATCAGTCATTACGTTTTAAAGCCAAAAATTTGAAATATTTAATATTATAAAACATATACATATATATATATATATATATATATATATATATATATCTTAATGTTAAAGATAAGCAGTTTTAGGTGCTTTTATGATCAATTTTGGTGATTTTAGAGGTATTTTGACAAGTGTTTAGGCGAAAATATTTTTGGAGTTGGCAACCCTGACTTTCCACATTGTTTATAAAAAGAATACAAACAAAACTTCTAATAAACATTTTAGAAATATATGCTGTCATGTTATCTCATACTGGTATTGATATCTAATGCAGGTTTATTAGAAGTTTGATTTAATTGTGAATATGCTTAACATTGAGTAATATGGTACTGTTTATGTTAAAGAGTGAAGTTTTAAATATTTACAATATCTTACAAGACTCAATTACACAAGAGGTTTGTCTACTGGCTTCCAGTCTAACCAATATTTTTATAGCATCTATATTTTTTTTTTACAATTATTGCACTGTGTGTATTTGTAAATTATTATTTTTATAAGTTATTGTTCTATTCAGCAATGTGTTAAATCAATTATGTACAGTAAAATCTGGTATAATTCTTTATTATTGTGCATATACACGGAAGTCATCATGTCGCCTTCATATCTTGTATATGATTATTTAACGTATTGGATCCGATTCTGTAATGTCATCCTTAATACATACCGGCCTCTGAATGCAACTACTCTCACTTTGTTCACGTGAACGTAATTTTTGCTAAGAAACCATGCAATTAGAGAGAACTATATAAAATACTAATGCATAACATGTCTATCTCGCTCTAATAACGCAAGTGTTTATGAAGCTAACTGTATCTCTGATATTACTTAATTTAGAGACAAGTTTCGGTAATGACATTTCAGAATGGGCTCCATTGCAGTGTATGCTTTAAATGTTGTGCAACGTGTGAAATGCTCACAGCTTGTAGCGCGACGGGCGGAGAACGGTGTGACCGTAACTTAACTGCTCAAGCTGCATATTCACTCTTTTGCAATTTATTTATTATTTTAATAAAGGATTTTACAAAAAATTTTGTTTTTTTAAACATCATAGATATATAAGCTCACCATAAAATAAATTTTACTAAAATTTTACATAGTACTAGCTATTATTACTCGATACTTCCTCTGCATATTTTGAGATGAAAATAATATGGCTGCCCGTCCTCGAGATACAATTTACCTTCGTATCAAACTTCCTTGACATACATTCAGCAGTTTAGTCTTGAATTAGTAAGGGACGGACACAGTTCTGCATTTATAATAATAATAATATTACTGATTTTACATTAGTTGTTAGATCTTAAGTTTAAGAAATATTTATTTCTATCTTCAATATTCTGTCGTGTTACGTTGTAGAGAGGAAAATAGAAAATACTAGGCACTTGAATTTTTGGATTCGCAGACAAAGCAATAATAAATTAGCACAACTACCTTAATCTCACATACAGAAGTTTATTGTATTGATCCACAGATGGCACTATGAGTAGTGTATTGTAATATTTAGGATAATTGTAAATTGGGAAAAGCAAGTTAGCGCAATATCCTATGTCCGTTCTCGTGATAGAAATTATCTTCTACGAATATTAGATATGCATGCGCCATGTACTCATGTAAAGTTCCAGATTACAAATTATTATTTATTAATTATAGTTATAAAAATCTGAATATATTTTTTACATTATTTTATATATATATGTCATATTTTTTTATATTTGAATTACAAACAATCTGCCCAATAGTTACTCAGACAGAATCGTCGTATATATTAACGTCACAATCTCAATAACATTTTTATAGAAGTTAATAAAGTTTCGGCGTCTGAGCTTATGAATACTAAAGTTTTCATCAGAGCTCATGCTTAGAAATCATTGTCGTCAATTCCTGATGACATCATCCTCTATTAATGCGCCAGGCTGTGTATACCGCGTATGCATCGTTCCATTATTATCTATTAATATTTATTATACATCGATTGGTATATATGTACCTATAATAATTGTATACTTATTGAATATATATCTCTGGCTATCGATAGGGTATTCATTCCCACACGCTAGAACATAAGTGATCCCGGAGTGCTGTTTCAGAGGAGCTTCCTCCTGCGTACACTTAGATTGTGGAATGAACTACCTGCGAGGTTTTCTCACGAAACTACTGGATGAGGTTTTTCAAGAAGGGTATATTAAGGTTTCTTAAGGGGCGGCAACACGCACGTAACACCCCTGGTGTCTCAGTCGTCCATAGGCTTCGGTACCACCACAACGTCCATCATAGTAGTTAGTATAGAAAATATATATAACTGTTCTTGTTTCTCAAAAAATTGAAATGAATTATACGAGTAAATTGATTCATATAGACCGCAAACTAGAAACAGTTCAAGGTGACCGGTCCAAAACTTAGAAGTTTTATCATTAGGAAACTAATTTGTACTCTTTATTGCACCAGATACAGAAAATAATAAACTTTCACTAAACTTTATAATTATAATATAACTTTCTTAAGCATCTTAGAAGTTTTTGACCTGGGAATTGACGAAAAAAGCTTCTGGCTCGAGTACTCTTAGTGTAATGGCGAGATCGCATAATCCAATGCAGTCAATTGAAACACCTCATTCTTGTTAAAAATGACAAAAAAAGTTTTAAAATGAAACTAAAAAAAACTTTGGGACCTAGTTAAAAATAGAACGTTATCAGTATTTAAAAAACAAAGTAAGTACATACTACCAACATTAAGATCTTCTAGTAGCCTATCGTTTGTTAAAGAACATTCTTCGTTGAATTATTTGCAGTTCGATGAATCAATGAATGGTGTCAAACTCTAAATATTTGGTGTGTGCAGGGGCAATTTTACAAGTGATTTATCATTATTTGTGTATTTCCAATGATTGCTCTATTGGGAAATACATAAATGTGTCCGTTTACCTATTAGTTCTGTCCTTGGTTAGATATGTACCTACATCAGCTTACATCTTAGAACTGTAAATAATCATACCTATCTACTCCTAAATATCGATGTGAGACTATCATTACGTATAGAAAATCAAGTATATATATAATGTATCTATAGCAAATGATGAATAAAATAATAATGTTTCAAGAAAATCATATGTCATCATATCATACCCATAACACGAGCTTGACTTCGGAGTAGGTATATTCAACGCCATATACCTACTCCCAAGTCAAGCTTGTGTTATGGGTACATTTTTTTAAAATATATACATAGAGACCACTCAGACCGGCACAAATAGTCATACTCATGAATACAAATGTTTCTATCGTGCGAGGAATCGAACCAGTCACCATCGGAAGTAAGGCTGTGAACTAAATCGTTAGACCACTGAGGCATCTGTAATCTACAGAGTAAAGATGCTATGTTGATTACAGAGTGGACAAAGACAATCATTTGCAAATTGCATGTACCTACAGTTTAAAGTTCATGTTATTCATAAACCATCACAACACTCTTCCATACGTTTTAGTTACTTATTTTTATGTAGATAAATATGTTATTTTCATAGAAATGCAACATGACTCAAAACAAAATTACATGGATATCTACTATCTTTCCAATTCCTTCGTAATTTTCTGTTTTGCGGACTGACTTGAACACTTTACCAGTGTCGTCTATGACTTAATTAAGTATTATTTAAAAACTTAGATTGACGTAGGATGGCAATATAAACTAACTATAGTCAAGCTCTTCAACCCAAAATAAAATATTTGCTACGTACCAACACACTAAGTAAATGTTGTTACTTAAGCAAATATTGTGTTGACCACCATCATTTTGACTTTGAATTGAATAATTTACATACTTTAACCACTTTAACACATAGTGGTGTGTATTGAATTGATAATTAATTATCTGAAATGAACCATTTAAAATGGTCATTAAAATTTATATACAATTGCAAGTCCGTATCAGGTTTGAAACATCTACAGCTACTTATCACCTATACTTATATTTATATATATATCTCCTCCTAATCCATGAATTTATATTAATTATAGAAAAAATCCTAGATAAAGATTTTTTGCTCATTAGCTGTACACAGAATACACAACATCAAACGAGAAGCAGAATAAAAAGACTTTGAATTTGATCTGCTAAAGAGTAAGGAGTGTATATTCGTCCAACAATGTTTCTGATATAACAAAGTATGTAGTTATTTATAATTATTGAAACTATTGAGCTAGTTTCAATAATTATAAATACCTACATACTTTGTCTCTGAACGTCTATATATATATATATATATCTGTATATTTTTATCCACTCACGGGAATCCTATCTATGTATGTTTAGAAATACCAAACTTTAAGCATAAAGGAAACAAAATGTGAGGAACATATGACTAGGTTAATAATATCCGAAATGACATATTTGACTTACCACTATACAAATATAAGGTATCGAAGCAAATCTATCGCGGATACATATACCTCGTGACCATGATTTGCGTAAGCAGTGGATACTCAAGGTAATAATTACGATGATTTTTTTATTTGTAGGGCAATTACCTATATTACCAATGGGTATATGCGAGTGATTACGTATAAAGCAAATAAGAAATGACAATTTAGTTACTAATATCACAGATAACATAATATTACATAAATATACAATCGATCGTGCTGGCTAACAAGGTTTATTCTTTTTCTCCCATTCTTCCTGTTACATGTCATGTCATTAACAGGAAGATGTGAGAGAAACCGGTTTCTCTCACATTCTTCTTCCTTCTCGCATTTTATCTTTATATTCCGGATAGCCTGTAGTGCCATAATTTTATACGGTACTATACACTTAAAAATAGAATTTAATATTCGAAATAATAATAAAAGACAAGTTATACATAATCCGCGAGCCAGCAACAGGTCGATGTGACCAATTTCTTCCCAATTGAAAACTTCTATAGTAGTTAAGACAGTTGTATATTAAGCCCAGTGAATAACAGCTGCTGTTTCGAGGATGGATTTAGGAACTCATCGCCTTCTCTCACATACACTTCATTTTTTTAAATTATAATAAACCT